TTTCGAAGACGACATTCATAAAGTCTCTGGCAGAATTCATTTTGTATTTGTTGGCCATATCATTCAAACACAGGCTAGTTTTACATCTGGTCAATTTGTGAATGAAAAATGAGGGCAGACGTTACGCATTTGTTAGGAACTTCGTTTTTATTGCCTGCATTTGCCGAGAAAATTTCTTCAAGATAGCAGCACCATGGAAATGAATGTAGAGAAAACAAATGTAATGAAAATTTCGAGACAACCAACCCCAGTCACAATAAAGATAGACCAAAAACAACAGGAGAATGTGAAATGTTTTAAATATTTGGGTAGCTTGTTAACAGATGATGGAAGGTGTACGTGTGAAATTAAATTCAGGATTGCCATGGTAAAAGCTGCATTTAGCAAGAAGAAGAATCTTTTTACAAGCAAATTGGACTTACATTTGAGGAAGAAACTAGTGAAATGCTACATTTGGAGCATAGCTCTGTATGGGGCTGAAACATGGACACTTAGGGCAGTAGATCAGAAACATCTGGAAAGTTTCGAAATGTGGTGTTGGAGAAGGATGGAGAAGATCAGTTGGACCGATTATGTGAGAAATGAAGAAGTGTTAATTAGAGTCAGTGAGCAGAGGAATATCCTACACGAAATAAGAAAACGGAAGGCTAATTGGATTGGTCATGTTTTACGCAGAAACTGCCTTCTAAAAGAAGTTATTGAAGGAAAGATAGAGGGGCGGATAGAAGTGGAAAGAAGACGAGGAAGAAGACGTAAGAAAATGCTGGATGACCTTGGGGACAGAAGAGTATATTTCCATTTGAAGGAGAAAGCTCCAGATCGCATTAAGTGGAGGAACTGTTTTGGAAGAGACTGTGGACCTGTCGTCTGACAGATTACTGATGATGATGATGATGATGAGCAGCACCATGTACTGTGTTTTGGGCAACTAATGACTTTTCCTGGCCCGTGAGGCGACGCAGTTGTTGTGTGTGCTTGGGGAGAACCGTGACAGGGAGTGCGGAGGGAAGGAAGACTTGTATAGTCAAACAACCGCTTGCTGCTGCTGGTACTTTGGCTTTCGGCCAAGGACAATCATATTGTAACACGACGGCATACTCGTAGATTGTGAGGCCCTATTTACAGGCTTATTTCGCCTGTATGCAGCAATATAAAAAGAAGTGAGGAACAGCCTTCAATAAAGCAGCAATGTCCCCCCCCCCCAATCGTATTAATACCGAAGGCCAACTTAATTAGTCTCCAGAGAGAACTAAAAGTTGCCGTGGACGGAGTGTTCTTCCGGAAGACTGCAACTGGAGTCCAGATCACAACTAGAAGTATGATGGACTACCAGGCCATACAAAAATTCCTCACTGAGATAAGGTGTATCTTAGTTTTGGCCTCTTCTTCAGGTTCGTAATCATTTTACACAGACGGTAGGACTCCTTGGATGATTGACGTACATGTATAGTACTGAATAAAAATCTCTGTCATGGATCTCGACCAGACTCGGAGCCAAGACTGTGTTGGCGACTGCCAGCAGCAATTTAACCGACGGATCGTGTGCGATTACGAGAAGGCGAGTGAGTGAGTGAGTGAGTGAGTGAGCGTCAGCAGACTCACTAGCCAGTAGTGACCAGTAGTAGTCAGACCGCTACCCTCGTCGAGATATGTAATAGTCCAGGAAAACGAAAATATGATCACAGGTTTCGATGGGGTCTAAAACGAAGAACGACTGTGCTGGCGAGGACCATCAGTAATTTACTCGATCCACCTAAGTTAGTCGCCAGCCAGCAGGGATGTGAGCGCCGAACTAGAGCAATCTCCGTTGTTAGAAGCCGGTACAAAGCAATGACTAGTGAATACAGAAGACTTCATATGTGCTGTAGTTAGGGTGATCTATAAAGTGTTTACATCAGTAAAGGTGTTATAGTTACTTGTAATTACGAGTTACAAGCCTTCGATAAATCAAATTATAATCCAAGCACCTCGTCTAGTCACTAACACGTGACAATATGTTGGCTGACTTACATAAATGTGGCATTCTTTCCCCCAAAGTTATAGATGTTTCTTTTTTACGAAGTTGTTTTTAACAATTTTCCGCTTACGGTTCGATCTGATTTGTGTTAAGTTAGTGCGCAAATACTCACTCGAACTCTTTGCGCATAGGTCTACATGAATTCTGAAAACGAATATCTGTTTTATGAATAACTTAGTGCAGCTTTGTGCTAGGCGCTCACATAAACCTCTGGACTTGATACAAATACTGGACAACAGTCTTCCAATTAATGGGGGACATGCATGCCTATACTGCGGTAGCTAAGCAAGTCATGTAAGAGTGGTTTCATAGTTAACCCATAAAGCAAGAAAGTGTTAAAAGTCGTATTCCAATAGACAATCAAAGGAAATTCTTTGAACCTCATTCGCTTTAGCGTAACCAAACCTACCGATCAAAACAATAATCATGAGGTCAGGCTGATTCATGCATAGGCGCAGAAGGGACAGAAGAACAGGAACACTGCGTCAGTGATGCTTTTCACATTTGAGGATCTGTTTTCTTAAATATGATTCCGAATGGGATAGAGAAACTGAAACCACACAGGACTTAATCATGTGATACGTTGCGAGCACAATGATGACAAAATACACTCATCAGCGAATGCACATACAACACTGGGTAAAGGTAAGGCAAAATTGTTCCTGTGCGTAATTAATGAAGCACTATGCCTTGAAGGCGTATGGGGGATTGGGTGTATAGACCCACGTTTTCTTGACCTCGTCAACAGCTGGAGATGAGCGGTCAGCTTCAGGCCCCGGCCGATAAAACCCTGGGGAAAGAGCCCCGGTACCCATTGGATAGGAGGTTGGATGGACCCCACAGCCGGTCTAGAGAAGTGAAAATTCTTAACCCTACCGGGACTCGAACTCCGACCACACTGGTCGTCCAGCACGTAGCCAGTCGCTAAACCGACTACGCCACGCGTGTCAAACTCAACTTGTACAGAGGGCCAACTCAGCCCTATAAATAACAGTCCAGGGCCGCACTTCAAAACAGAAATATACATTAGATTTTGATACAAGGAAATTTAATTCTACTTATTATTTAGGAATAATTTCAATATAATTACCTAAAGTCACATACCTTACAGTTCTAAAAAGCAAGATAATGCCATTTTTGACAAGTATCAAACAGCTTTAAAATATGTAAAAAGAGAGATTACACAAGAAGTTATGTTATAAATAGCAAAACATTGAATTTCCTGCATTCTGCTAATTTATGTCTGCGTGAGACTTCTTGTCTTCCGGTCTGTTGGAAAATTGTCTATACAAAAAAATATTTCTACTAAAATTTTAATATTGATTTTAATATTAATTAGTTCTAAAAGTTGAGGGGTCGCACTTTATGGCTATGGGGGCCGCATGTTTGACACGACTGGACTACGCTATTCCAGCTCCTATACAACATTGGGTAAGGAGAAAGTATTAAAAGAAAAAGTATTAAAGGTGAGCAGCGACACACACACACACACAGGGAGCCTGCACAGAATAATACATGAACGGTGCTGAAAGCAAGAAGTAGCCGCTGCAGCACATGTAGACAAAAGCAGGTGTCCCTGGTAATTAGAACTTTATATTTTAGAAATTTTAAATTTTAAACTGTAATTCTAAAATCAAATTGACGAGCGTGTGTTGGCGAGATTTTAGAACAAAACTGACAGGCTGATGTTTTAGATTTTGGACTGTGTGCAGTGTGACAGCAACGTAGTGAAAAATACACCTGATGATGGCCGGTTACGGCCGAAACATGTAGTGTAGAGGAAGAAAAGACAAAGATCTACAACCAAATAAATTGTTGCATTCACGACGGCATTTGTATTGTTACGTATAGAATTGGGTAAGGAAATGAAATCCAAATAAAAGACATAATCTCACACTCATTATGATGTACAGTACTGATATACAGGCATGTAGGTTTCACACTGTGTCAGATAAGACTAACAAGTTTTCCTTTAAGTAACATGAAAACTAATTAGCCATTGTTATCAGCACCGTACATTTTACTGTAGATATAAAATATGAAACAGACACTTAAAACTTAAGTGTAATAAGGTTACAAGAGGAATTCAGTTTTTTTCGAAACTTGCCACGATTTACCGAAAAACACTCCACCACGTTCTATTTCGGTCGCTAGTGATAACTGTCAAAGAAACGAAACACCCCACTGTGACCTTGCTCAGCCTTAAGTTTACATGTCCCATTCTCCGCACTTTAAAATTTGTAAAGCTGGACTAACAGAATATACAAACAGAGACACGAGAGTGAAAATGCATATCTATTTTGGAGCAGCTGACACATATTCCAAATGCGTTCTTTGCGATTCTGTTCACAGCATTCGTTTCAATTTGCACTTCTTACACACGTACATACCTACAGTTTCAAAGCAAACCAAACTAAGACGGACGGCTACTTGCACTGCAAAATCAAACATAGATTTTGTTTGTATTTCGATAAATCTTTACGTCCTCTCGTAAGAGAGGGCGCCCCACAAAAAAACAAAACCGTAACGTTCAAACAGTAATAAATATCTGGTCATGAGCCCCAAAGACTTACTGCCTGACTGACCGTCAGTCGCAATGTGACTTGAGGAGTTCAGTCAACATAGTTCAGCATGAATCAGGAAATTGAAATATATATATACCGAACTCCTGAACTCCTGCGACTGACCGTCAGTCGCGATGTGATTTTGACTTTGACTCTGACTCGGTTTGAGTAGTTCAGTAAAATTTGTGGCTGACCTTATAAGAATAGCAGGTCTTCAGGTAGCTCAGAGGGAACAGAAGACTCCACCGAGATTAGCGGTGCAAGAAGTAACTACAGTGTTGTAAGAAACGTCTGACGACGTTATAAGTGGATGATAATTGCACTTGGAAGTTTAGAGGGGATCGGCCAATAAACTTATTCGCTAAATCCGAGACCTGAGTGAAGTTATTTGTCACAACACGCGACAATACAGTACTAACCTATAGAACTGTGAGTTCAGGGTCTGAAAAGCAGGACGAGAATACTTATAACGTATTCCACTTGGCCCTGTCTACAGTCCAATGTCAAGTGGAGGAGCATGGGATGTCATCTGCATGTTCCCCATTCTGAGGCCCAGATCGGCGATGCTGGTCTCTGCAACCACCCTGAAACAAAAGTGAGAGACAGTGTTAGGTTGACCACATATCTTGCTATCAGCAGTTGGTGGACTAACATACACTTAAAAGAGAACTTGATATACTGGCCTCTCGATAAAACGCCACGATTAACATATACGTGTAGCTAGAAATGAAACGTGACTTGGTGCACCATATTCGTATCATCACTGGCAGAACGGTGAATTGGACCTTCCGATTTCCACCTCTTTGAAGTTCGCAACATTAATTCAGTCTTGCGTCCAACCCCCAACCACCAACCTAGAGGACCACGTCTCTGTATGTATGTCCCCCACTGACAGGGTGGCCAAAGCACAATAAATCACTGTAGGTCGCAGTGCAAGGGCCCACAAGGCCCACCCCTTATACATTCATTCATACTATTCCTCCAGGTATCGCATTCCCTTTCCGCAGCCTTATGCGACTCACAGGGATTCTAACCCGGCTCCACATGGTACATATTCGTATACTGTAGGGTAAAACCAGCAGAGTTTCAAGCAGTTACAGCTAGAGACTACAAAAAGAAAAAAACAAAACAAACTACGTAGTTTCAGTCCGCAAGCGAACTATACCGACCCAGCAACCACCGCTTGTCGAAGTTAGTGCCAATTTTTGCGGAAAGATGATGTCGCGTGGTGGCCAGCGCAACGAATCCTCACGGACATTAATTTCGGTTTTCTAGACCGGAGCCGCTATTCCTTGAAACAGCTCCTCAATTATCCTCACGAGGCTGAGTGGACTCCGTACCAGACCCGCTACTTCTCAGAAAATCTGGTGGCGCCAGGAATCGAACCCGGACCTCTGGCTCTGTAGCCAGGAACTCTGGCCACTAGACCACAGAGGCGGTCAGCTAGAGACTACAAGTATAGAAATTGTAAACAGTGGCTTCATTTACAATCCAGCAGGATAATAGCATATAGATCACTAGCTTTAAGCAGTTCAGTTCTCCCCATGAAACTATAGTTACTTACCAGCTATTCCATAAATTCCTTGCTTTTTACGGCACTCGCCCTGTTCACAAGAGCTCGTCAGTGGTTCAAATAAATCAAGTCAACGCCCTCCCATTCTATATCTTTAAGATGATCTTATTGTTTTCCTGCGATCTATGTTAATGTCTTTCACGTGATCTTTCTCCTCGACATTTTCCGACCGACAGTTTACTTCTTTTCCATGAATGCTACACGCAACGGCCATTTCACTACAATCGAGTTTATCATCCTAATAACATTTGCTGAGCACAAACCATGAAGCTCGTCATTACGCAATTTTCTCCAACCTCCTATTATAATAGGTCGAAATATCCTCCTCAGTACTATTATCAGAGACAGTCAATGCACGTACCTCCCCCTGGCGTGACAGACAAAACTTCAAATCCATACGAAGCTACAAGTAAACTTATTTCTTTTTATTACATTTTAATCTTTGGATTTTCAGAAGGGAAGACGAAAGATTCTGACCTCAATGGTATCAAGTATCCCCACAATGCATCTGCTTTAATTTCTTCTTGAATGTAATTCTGATTTTTCGCCTGTTCCCAAGTATTTTGGACGCCTTTGTGGCCTAGTGGCCAGAGCTCCTGGCTAGACATCCAGAGGTCCCGGTTTCGATTCTCGGCACTACCAGATTTTCTGAGAAGTAGTGGGTCTGGAACGGGTCCACTCAGCTTCGTGAGGATAATTGAGGGGAGAGTTCAAGGAAATAGCGGCTCCGGTCTATAAAACCGAGATTAACGGCCGTGGGGATCCGTTGCACTGACCACGTGACACCCTCTATCCGCAAAAGTTGGCAATTACTTCGCCGATAAGCGTCGGTCGCTCGGTCGGTATAGTTCGCTTGTGGACTAAAACCACGAAGTTTGTTTTTGTTTTTCCCCCCAACTATTTTAACTCTGTCAGATTTTTTAAGGATTTACTTGCTACTGTGTATGCCATGGTTTTTCTCGCATTATGGTGTCGAGACATGAACGTGCACTTAATTTCCACCATTTTTACTTCTGGACCAATGTACGTGTTGGTGTCTGATAGAGTTTATGTGTATTTTTATTAGCCTACATCCCTTATGTTGAAAAATAAAAAGAGGCTAGGGAAGTCAACTTGCATGCACCGAGAATTACGGTGTGGGTCACCATCTCAAGTCATGGCCTGCTAGGGTCAATTTTCTTTGGGCAGTGAACAGTGAGCGCTATTTACACATGTTGCGCAGTACTGTTGCGCCTCACCTTCTTGCTACAGGTTCATGCAGGATGGAGCCAGGCCGCACACAGTGAATGTTGTTTGGACTTTCTAAATGACACTTTCGACTCGCGTGTTATCTCAAACTGATTTCCTCATCGTTTCGTATGTGGACAGAACTGACCCTCGAATAGTCCTGATTTAAACCCATGTGACTACTTCCTTTGTGTATTCCTTGAAGAAAAGACTTTATCCGAAAAAGCCGCAAACAACAATGGAATTGAGGGCACTAATCATTCAGGCCGTCGAATATTCAACATCACAGTTCGAGTTGAAAAAGTTACCAGACGTAATGGTGGTAATATTGAACACTTGATTTACAGAGGATAAATCTCCATACAGTCGTCTTCCTTTTTGCATCTTAGTTTCTAATGCTGTAACTGAAATAAATATCTTATTAATCTATCCAATACTGTATCATTTCGTGTACCACCCTGCACATTTGAATGCTGTGTCCTGTCTACTGAGACGCGATCAATCCAACCGTGATTCTTGCCATCAGGATCAGCTGGGCGTTATGTACTGGCGATATCAATGCAAGTGTAAGCAGTGGCAACATCTCAAATACCGGTCGGATACTCGTAACATCGGCTCAATATTCAACGTGGGCGGATCGCTAAGTAACCGGACAAACAGTGCACATAGTAGCTGCATCTCAAATAGAAGCTTGGTACTAGCAGATAAATAGGAGCTGGGATAGCGTAGTCGGTATAGTTACTAACTACGAGCTGAACTACCGAAGGGGCGGAGTTCGAGTCCCGATATAGTCAAGAATTTTCTCTTCTCCAAGTCGTCCAGACCGGCTGAGGCGCGCCCAGCCTCCTATCCAATGGGTACGGGGGCTCTTTTCCTGGGGGTAAAGCGGAAGGAGGCTGGTCACGGTAGCCGAGCGGTCTAAGGCATGCACTGTCTTCGCTCGCTCGGAAGCCGGGATCGTGGGTTCGAATCCCACTCAGGGCATGGATGTTTGTGTGCGTTTTTCTGTGTTTGTGTACAGGGAGAGGCCTTGCGACGAGCTGATCACTCGCCCAAGGAGTCCTACCGTATGTGTAAGATCTAGAAAAGACACCGAAGTGAACGAAGTTCATGGAGGTAGGCCTAGGCCCACTGGGGCTGTAGTGCCAAGGGAAAAAAAGCGGAAGGAGCGGGAAGCTGACCATTCACTTCCAGCTAGTGCCGAGGTCAATAAAATGTGGATCTATACATCCACTCACCCGTACGCTTTCATGGAGTACTGCTTAATTAGTTAAGCACAGGGACAACTTTACCTGTACCTTATCTAGCAGATAAATCGTAAAGAGCTGCCAGGTGTCAAAGAAGTAGCTCAGATCCTGCGCCGATGAAGGACTCTAAACAACGGACATGTCTCCAATATATTGTCCCACTTTCAAAATAATTTCAGAGTACTACAGGAAATGAAAATGGTAAGCGAACTTCTTAAGGGTACTGGAGGAATCTTAATGGCACAAAAATTAAATATTTCACAATCACGAACAGTGAGTAGGTAAGGATTTGTAAGGAAACCCCATGGCCTATGTTAAAAATGTCTAATGCCCAGGTCTTTTCCTGAAGACGCTCAAAAATCTTCCAAACAAGCTGGCAGCTGGACCGAAATTCGAACCGGGTACATTCCGAACAAAAGTCTAAGTCTTAACGATATGCCAACCTGTTGGGTGCGTAAAGCATACGCGTCTACTTTCGTGGTTATGGGACGGAACAAACAATGCAGAAGCAAATAAACAGAGAGAGAACAAAAACCCAGAATTATTCTCGTACGGGGGCTTCATATTCTAATTGCGTTTCTCGTCTTATTTTATTTATGATTTACTCAGCGACGCTGTTGGTATCTCTGATAAAAGCGTCGAATGGTAGGATATGTGAACAGGACATGGAGACAATGCGGAAGGAGGTCATATACTTTCCCCACATTTGTATGGAGAGACTGAATACAAACTACTAAAACCCTCAATCAGGGTAATCCATTTATTATTATTATTATTATTATTATTAGAGGGGGTGGGTTTCCGCATGCACTTAGACCAGTTATTGGTCCACTGTGCGTCCCCCTTTAATTTCTACCGTCCCCATACCCTACCGGTACTGGTGCGTGCTATCAGCCCCGTTCAGCCAACGAGGTCGGCCGTCGGTACATGATATTTCCCCCATCTACCAGAGGCGTTGGAAACTACATGGGCGGGAAATTGTTGTCTAATTTCGCTCAGAGGTCTCCTTGAGACATGAGGATCTTTTACGTGCCGTAAATCTACGACACGGGACCCACGGCTTAAAGTCCCTCCCGGAGGACTTGTTCCCTGAATTTGTCCGCCCTTAAAAATTCCACGACCTCAGCCGGGTTTTTGAACCCGCGTACCTTGAGTCATGAGGTGGGAACGTTACCCCTAGACTACGGAGGCCGCTCAGGGTGATCCATTATCCTGCACCAGATTCGAACAGAGCTCCTTCTGAGTAAAAGTTAGAAGCGTTATCGGTTGGGTCACTTTGCTGTGTTTTTAGCCATTAGCTTCGCCGGTAACACTGTTATAATGACGGATTATACTTGTTAAATATGGAAGCATTTCTTAAGATATTCCATACATTTACTCAGTCACTTGCGGTATCGCCGTCGGTCATTCTGATTCATACCCTCACCTTATTTGTATACAACAGCGAAATCGTGCCATATTGGTAGAGAACGCTTGTTCTCGGTCATCTGGGCATCTCTGCGTGTTCGGACAAAAGGCTATATGGCGGGGTTCACAA